CGCGTAGCAATACTGTCCAGCAGAAGTAACGCAGCAATTGCAACTGCTACATGAAGCCGCTACGTAGCGCTAACTTCGGCTAAACACACCCAATGTTATATATGGCTTTCAATACAAGATAAAGAAAAGCTATTATTATTATTTGTTCTATAAGATCATCTAGCAAACACTCATTATAGTGACGTGTAAAACCCCTTTCACAATGCGAGGGAATAGCAATAGCAATAGACGATAAACACAGAATTCTAATTGGTCGGAAATTTTATCGCTATTGCCTATTCCGTGTTTCGATCTGCATTGATACGTGTGTATTTCCGAATGTTAGATTTCTAGTTATTTAGAAAACTAAATTTTATAAAGCTGGTATTATTTCTATTGCTATCGCTATTTCTTCGCATTGTGCAAGGGCCTTAAGAGGATTCCAAAATGGATCTGTTTTATCGATAAAACTGAAGTTCTGGCGCACACTAATCTTTTTTTTTTGGCTGTATGAATTGACAAATCCTTTTCTACAATTAAACTACATATAATAAGAGATACGGGAAGTCCAAATTTATATAACAAAATGAAAACAAATGTTTTAAAACTTTCCATTTTTTTCATTTCGTTATATAAACTTGAACTTCCCAGATTCCTTATTGTATGTACTGTAATCGTAAAAAAAAGGATTTGTCAATTCATACAACCAAAAAAAAGATCAGTGTGCGCAAAAATTCAGTTTTATCAGATTTAAGACTGTAAAATCCCCTTAAGGCTTAAGAGGATGCTAAAACGTTCTGTTTTACTGACATTTTTTTGTAATTCTAAAGTTTTGTAACCTTATTAATTAGAATTAAAAAACGCTTCTCCAGAAAAAAAAAGAATATAAAGAATTGCATAAAACATAAGAATACCAGAAAAACGAAAAAAAGGTTTTAGACTGTTACTACATACAGGATTTTCAAAAAGTCCGGAAACGCTAAAATATCTCGGAAACGATCAACTCACACACACAGAAATGTAAATCCAAACATGCAATCTCCACGCGATGCACCTTAAGTAATGAGAAAATACAGATCTTTCTGAAGTCAAGTTTGAAGCGTACTAAGGATTGTAAATATTTCTTCACTGAAAATTCTTACAGATATATTTTTTAAACACTATTCGAATGTAGTTTAAATTAAAGAAAATACGATTCATTTGTTAATACATTCACAATTGGCCTCAAACCTTTTCAATAGCATGATTCGATTTGCATAGTACGCTTCAAAATTGACTTCAGAAAGACCTGTATTTTCTAATGTAAATCAGATATGTTTTCCACATTTGGAAAAATTGCAGAAAATTTCAATGTTTTCCGTGTTTTTATGGATATGTATTACCCTCAACAATGTACGTTAAATAAATCAAATAGTGAATAAATAACTTTCTGTAACAACATTTGCAATAACATTTTAATTTGTCTTGTTCCTCTCTCTCTCCGATATATTCAAAACTTTATATTATATATTTCTTACATACAATTTTAAATACAAATTAAATAAAATGCAAAAAAATATATAACAATCCCAGCAAACATAAATATATAACAGCAACATTATTGTCGTAATAAAACAAATGTAACAAGTAATATAACATGGACGTTGCATGTAACATCCATGTTAGTTGTAATTTCCTACTTATCGTATATTGCAGTTATATAATATGAATATAACATGTAAGTAGAATGTAATCTAATTGTTATATAGTTACAGAAATGTTATAATGTCATTACCAGCTAATAACAAGCAATATAATAGATATATAACATAATTTTATTACATTTATAAAACAAAGTTACATTGATGTTAATAGAGTATAACAGCTGTTATATTACGTATATTACTCTGTTACTTCTATGTTATATAGCAGTTACATTCTGTGTTTGCTGGGATGTAAAATACATTCAACAACACACAAGAACAAAAAAATACAGTTACTGATTGCAGGATTCGAACTTGCATGCCTTGAGTTACGATGCAAGCACCTAACTCACTAAATCACTCGAAACCGCTTGAAAATAGACTTAACGGAACGACCTTTCCGGTACACCTAAGAAAGCCGTATATTTTCAAAATTAAAAACTTGAAAACTAAGGCGCATTGGAACAAACGGCCGAACACGGAATAATTTTTTTGACCTATAGAACTACCAAAAATTTGCCCTCAAATTTCACGATAACCACTTCTGGTGTTCCCCTTGTAAGTACGATTCTAATGTCGAATTATCAAAATTTTCTACAGGAACAGTGTTGTCAACCTAAATGAGTCTGAATGAGTAACAGCAATTACATTCATATATGAAACTTTCAGCGTTACCCAGAACTAACGGCGTGGACGCAGAAAGTTATGTAGCTCCTTTTTGGTTTTATAACTTTTTTTGTTATTTTTGTAGTTTTTAATTCTTTAACAAATAATAGAATCTATAAGGCTCTGACGTAACCTAACCAATAAGTATATGTGAATACGGTCAATAAGAGCTATTTGCTGGATGTTTTTGCGGTAATATTTGTGTATAAGTAGTAGTATGTGTCCCGCAACCGAAGGTTGCGGGAGTGAGGGGCGCCATATCGTCTACGAATGGAAGGGGTATCGCTCGATGGGGGTAAGGCGGGAATCTTCGAGTAGTGGGGACAATGCAAGAAGGGGAATAATATAAACAATTAGTTAAAAATTTAATTATTTATAAATAATTTTTATCCACTATGGTTTATGCAGGTTACGCATGTCAGTAAGTATTCTGAATAGACCTTAGCGTAGAAAATCTTGAAAAACCTGGAAAAAATCTTTACGAAATATGTGGAGATTCGAACCCTGGTCCTTGGTGTTACAGCATTCGTACCTAAACTGGTAAACAGTATATGTAACAGGCGCAGGGAACTTAGGTTGTAGTCGACATAAAAACACGTAATGGTATAAAAGTTTGTAAGTGTGTTGGTGGAAAGTAAAAACGCCTACGCTCAAGACTAGTCATGCTACTCAACCTATTGGAAATAAATAAGGATATAGTTTAGACGGAATGCACAGTACAGAGTACTCTTAACGTTTCTTTTTTGGACTGGTTGTCCGATATGGCGCCTCCCACGCGTTACTATTTGGGCCGGTCGTCCGATATGGCGCCCTCCACGCGTTGCTATTTGGGACTGGCTCATCCATTATGGCGCATACAGCCCACCACATTAGGGCGTGCAGCAACGTTATTAACGTCACTCCGCCCGGGAGCGAAAAAGACAAAAGGAATATTTCTTTTTTCCTGCTCTTTTACAGATTATTTCTATATCAATTTTTTGCTCACTCTTTTCTTACTTCAAACGTATACTATCATATAAAATATACATGTAGAATATTTATGTTTTTACAAGAAATCGTATAAAAGATAAAAAGTTTACTTTCACATATGTAAAATTTTTTCAATATAACTATTCGTATATTACATCCCGAAAAGAAGCAGCTTCTTCAATTTTATTTACATTTATAAAAAACATACATTATGCGTTATTTGAAATAAACTGGCTTATCTTGATTTTTCCCTACTTTACTTTTTACTATTGTTGTTTATTCATATGCGTGCGCAACTTCTCACAATATTTTTCTGACTTTATTTAGTTTTCTCACAAACTTGAAGCATTCGTCTTTTACCTGGTAAAGTCGCAACATCGGTAGTTCCAAAAATTGTTTGCGTGTTGCCGGAATAAGTCAAGATTTTCCGAAGAAATAGATATTTTGAATAGCGGTCAAAAATTAACACTATCTCAACAAAAAAGCGTTTGTGTACCACAAATGCTAAAAGAATAGTTCACCGAAGAAATTACATGGTGTTTTTCACAACATACGCACTTAATAATTCACATACGAAAAATATTCATGTGGGATTACACGCATCGAATAACGATGGGATCTTCAAACCACTTATAAGACTCACCGGCAATTGAGCACACGGAATCGATTTTGAATACGGTGACTGAGTAAAATTCTGCAATTGTATAGAAGAGTTAAACTCTTATTTATGCGGAAATGAGACAATCGTCACCCCTATCATCATTGGCAATATCGTCATTATTTTCACGCCGCAATACAAAATACGACAACTTCCTCTCCGGCAAAGAAACAAATAATCTTCAAGATATTCATCATGATGCAAAAAGTCACATTTGATGGACTTGTGAGCGTTTTACAATGTGTCGAAGAGCGATATGTTCATTTACAATCTATTCAACAGCATATTAACGCTTGCCTGTGTTATTTGATAAAAGAAATAGAATTAAATTTACCTAACAGATATTTAGATGAGGAAATGGTAAAAGTTACACTACAGAATAATTATTCTGATATTGAGCATAATGTACGCCTTCACAATTAAACGATCTAACGTTTATTGATACTTATTTTAATATTATATTCAAAGAATTAATTGCGCTACATGAAGAAGAAATTATCCGCATAATTCTATCACATAACTCAGACCGAGTTTTATAATCGATTTGGTAATAAGTTTTTTTCAATAAATATGTAACTAAAACAAAATTTTCATGTGTGTTGTGTGTCTAATCCTTTACTCCCACATTTTCCTAATATTCTAAGTGTAAAGAAAAAAATACATATATTAGTTTTATAAATATTTTTATGGAATTACATGATCTAGAAGTTTTTGTTATGTTATTTCTTACAGTTTTTATTATATTTTTTAAAATTCAACACTGCTCCAAAAAATCGGAATAAAATTTATATAGGCTAAACTCTACTTTCATGGACTTATATTGTTGCGAATAGTTCAAACTCCTATGTTTTACAAAATGTTTCGTAGATTTTATTACTATTCACATTT